CAAGTCAATGAGTCTGAGTTGGTAGGTTTGTTCGCCATCCCCAAAGATAGAGAGTTTGATAGGTTGATCATAGATCCCACCACCATCAACTCTCGTTGTCAGGGATACTCGAACTTCACTAGGCTACTAGCCCCGGGAGCTTTGCTGACACAGCTGCATCTCGATGATGGAGCTGGAGAAGTCGCTCGTTTTTCTGCAGACGATCTAACAGAGATGTATTATACGTACGTCGTGTCTGATGAAAGATCAAAGAGAAATGCGATCCGCATGAAGTTTGACGCTTCGGAAGTGCGTCACTTCAAAGCCTTTCAGCCGGGCCTTCATGTTGGCTCCGTGTTCTTGTGTTTGGCTACTTTGGGCATGGGCGACCAGCTGTCGGTCGAGGTCGCTCAACAGTCGCATTGGAACGTGCTGGCCTTTCGTGCGGGGGCAATGCTCCCCGGAGAAGTGTTAGCCTACCGGCGGCCTTTTCCGCGAACTGCCACTGTGGAGATGCTAGCGATAGATGATCACGTCGTTTGTCAAAAGCTCTCTGCCAGCGAGGCAGCCCGCGAGCAGCCAAAACGGGACACCTTGATCTTCGAGCGGTCAGGCCAGGCCTATCGAGACGTTGGCTTAGTGCAGCACCCCAAGAAGCGCAAGCGCAATCTGCAGCGTGGCACTCTGCTGGGTGCAGAGGTTGACGGTGAGGCGGGGTGGGTGGCCGCGCCACGACACCGCGTCGGCACTCTGATGATGGCCACGGCGGTGGTGGCACGTAAGGGCGTGTGCACACCCGCCCTGCTTTCCTCTCTTCTTGGTTTGTGGGTGCATGTGCTCATGTACCGCCGGCCCGCGCTCTCGATCCTCGGCGCTGCGTTTAGCGACGCGCAGAAGGAGCCGCGCAACCGTGTGATAGCGCTGCAGCGGGCCACCCTGAACGAGCTCCTGGCGCTTGTGATGCTTGGTCCGGTGCTGCAGACTGACATTCGTGTCGGCTACGTGCCGCGCCTCTACAGTATGGACGCCTCACCGGCGGGCGCAGGCATAGCTTACGCGCCGGTGCCTGAGGAGGTTATCAAGGAGCTCTGGCGGCACGGCGAGCACCGCGGCTACTACACGAAGCTGGAAGGTGGTGCTACTGCGCTGTTGCGCGAGCAAGGCTTCGACACTGAGCCTTGGTTCGGCGCTCGTGAGAACTTCCTGCCGGGCCCGAAGGTGGTCGTACCTGCGCCTTTGCGGGAGGGTGTCCTCTACGACGTTGCGGAGTTGTTTGGCAGTGGGAAAAACTGGACAGCTGCGCACGCCAAACTGGGGCTTCGCTGCTGTCCCGACTTACTGTGTCAGGGCCAGCCGGCTTCTTTGCTGAGTCTCCTGCAGCAACCGTTTTGGCGGGAAGTTGTAGGCTTGGTGTTGCGTGGGGTGGTTCGGGAGTGGCACTTTGGGCCCGCTAGCCTGTCCTTTAGTCTGCTGCAGACGCCGCGCCGCCGCTCTAAGCTTCAGCCGCTCGGGTTTGACTTGAGGGACCCCACCACTAAGGACCACAACTCGGCTGCCCAGCGCCTTGCCTTCCTGCTTTCGCTGATCGTGACTGACGGGAAACTGTTCAGCGTAGCTCAGCCTAAGGGAAGCGTGATGTTCAGGCTTCATTGCTTTAGGGTTTTGGTTTTGCAGGGTGCGGTTTATAGTCGAGTGCAGCACCAGCACTTCGGATCGCCCTTTGCTAACTGCACGATCTGGTTGCACAACAAACCTTGGGTGCATGAGGCGACTAAGTCCAGTACCGTCCGGCGCACCGAGGACTGTTTGCCCGTGGTTGGCCGTTGTACCAGTCGGGTAGTGCAGCGTCTGCAGGAGCTTTGTCGCCCATCGGTGTCCGGAATACTCGGTGATATCGATCCTGGAGGTTACACCATGTCGAAGCTGGCATCGTTGCTGCCCTGCCCGTTGTGTGAGCGACTGGCAGCTGGATCGCTCGCTGAGACGGCGGGGCAAGCGCCTTTGATGCCCCTGTCAGCCAAAGCTCGGGCCCTCAAAGAGGCTTGGGATTTTCAGCTTTCTGCGCCCTCCGGGGTACACGAGTCCCGCAGTTCCGAGCGCGAGTTCTACGACGACCCCCTCTGGATCGGGGAGCTTGCAGACAGCCTAAGTTTTCAGGAGCTGCTCAGGTATCGCTTTGCGCGCTCTGGTCACATCAACGTGCAAGAAGCGAGAGCTTACAAGACTTGGCTGAAGCACCTTTGTACTTCGGCACCGCGCTCTCGGGTGTTAGGCCTGATCGACAGCAGAGTTTTGCTTGGGGCTTCGTCTAAGGGACGGTCTTCTAGCGGGGCTCTTAGCAGGGTGCTCAAGAGTTCTCTGCCTTACGTTTTGGGCGGAGCTCTCTACCCGGCAGGTCTTCACGTTTCCTCGGCCCAAAATCGCAGCGACGGGCCGTCAAGGGGAAGGCCTGTTGCACCTCCGAATAAGGAGTTGCCACTGTGGTACAGCGACTTGTGTCGAGGCGACACTGGCAGATTCGACATCTGCCTGGCTGCAGCACGCGTGCCCAAGAATCCATCTAAATGGCTACGTTTGCTGCTGTTGCTTGCTGGAGACATCGAGCCTCATCCCGGCCCTGCTCTACAGCCTCGTGGACCTCTCGACCTTCAGTCGGGCTTTGCAGCTTCCACGCGGCACAAGATGCAGAAGAGCCTCGATGCCTTTGCCATGTGGCTCCTCAGTGAGTTCAATCTGCAGTTGGCTCAGGTGCTTACGTGCGCAACCACTGCTTCCACAGCACTGCGGGGGTTCGGACTGCACCTCTACGCTACAGGGCTTCCGCGTTACTTGCTCGTTTACGCCATCACTGCTGTGCAGGATCTCCGGCCGCAAATGCGGGGATCGCTCACTGGGGCTTGGCAAATCGACAAGAAGTGGCAGTTGGCGGAGCCGGGGTCCTGCA